AAGGGCAGTTTGGGCTGTGTATAAGCTCTGAGTATCTGTTTCAGCCTAGAGTTAGACTGTGACTCTGTTTCGTCTGGAGTCAATCTAGGCTGAACTGAAGTCCTCCCAGCCACCTTCTGCAGCCCGTGGAGAAAGGCACCTCCAGAGAATAGGGTCATCCCACCTAAGGACTAGGGAGTCCCCCTGACACTGTGGATGGTGTCTGCAGACAGCATGAAGGGCTGCTGGGCCTCTCATGCCGCACCCCAGGGAAGCAGCAGGCGTTAGAAGGCAAGAGTCCCAAACATAACCCTGCTTCTGCTGCTTGCTTCTTAAGTGAAAACTGCATTTTATCCACAGAGATAATAAAAATGCCTGCTAGTTAAACTGTGTAAGCCGCTGCAGATGAGGGATTTCTCTTCTTATCATCACCCTGGATATAACTGGTTGTTTCTTTCAGCCTGATTTTATTGTGAAAAACTGAGAAAATTAACTTGCACTGAAAAGAACTCCACTGGTTTGATGCTGCGGCATAGACACACAAGACAATACCAAACATCTGGATGACATTACATCTCAAGAATCAGAATTTGAATCCTATTGGAAACAAATATAAAGTCGCTGCAGCCTTTGAGCAACCTATAAACCATTCACCACAAGAAATATCATGGAATAACTGAAGCATTCAAGTATCCTTTTGGTGCAATCCCAAGTATAGCACACTGCTGACAGCGCAGCCAACAGCAGTGATTCCTGTGGAAGGAGTCGGGGATCTGAGCCAGCGCAGACTGGAGTCAATAAGTCTTTCCATTTACTTCAGTGGACTTAGAGCTGAGCTTTTAATGACTCACACACTCCGTGGTGCTGACCTAGGCAACCTTCCTTCCTAAAGAGGTTGAACTTGGCACCAGAAGTGAGAGCATGCAATCACTAATCTGTTTGCTCCGTGACTGCTGTCCCAGGCTTTGAATGTAGAGATACTAAAGGATAAATGAATAAATAAAAGCTGTGTAACCTCAATGCAGTATCCTTTAGCCTCATTGATGAAAATCAGATAATATAGATTATTTTGTCTTCTCCAGTGTTCTTGATACAGAGGAAGTCTTTATTAAAATACTTCTAACACATCACGTATCCATGTACTATCTGACATCATGTACCCATGCACCATCTGTCTGTTGCTGTACTATGGATGAGGCTGTATTACCTTTGAACTGAACATCAGTTTGAAGTGAGACGGTTAATTCTTTATGACTTAAAATTTGTCTAATAGAAGCTGTTTTGGCTTATAGTGGGTGACCTACTGCACACATCCAAGGAACCTAAATAAACTACTTCGCAGGGCCAGTAGTGATAGGACAAGGGGTAATGGTTTTAAACTAAAAGAGGGTAGATTCAGACTAGATATAAGGAAGAAATTTTTCACGATGAGGGTGGTGAAACACTGGAACAGGTTGTCCAGAGAGGTGGTAGATGCCCCATCCTTGGAAACATTCAAGGTCAGGCTGGATGGGGCTCTGAGCAACCTGATCTAGTTGTAGATGTCCCTGCCCATTGCAGGGGGGGTGGACTAGATGACCTTTAAAGGTCCCTTTCATCCCAAAGCATTCTATGATTCTATGAAAATTGTTAAATTGTGGAATATAGATATTTGAGAACATTTAGCTATTTTCATAGAAAAGAGTAAAACTAAACATTTGTCTATACGCAAATGAAAATGCCAAATGTCCTTGTAGGCACATAATCATCTGTGTAATTTCCAGGAGGACTTACCAGAATTAAAAAGAATAATTCCTTTAAGATAGGCGTATTCTTTTGCGCTTATGTCCAGGTCCCAGAATTTCCACAATAAATTCTTCATCTTCTGAACTTCTGCTAAAGATGCTCCCAGTGACGAGCTGCCCAGTTCATTGCTAGCTGTCAAAGACTGATTGAGAAGGATTTTTTTCAATAAGCTAGGGGCTGAAATCTCTCTCAGGTCAAAATCCACCCTTTCTTGTGCCATGCCCAGGACAAAAAGCGGGCCCCAGTTCTGCTGTATGAGGACAAGCTGATCCTCCCAAGGCACGTGATAAAAAGAAGGCAAGTTTCTAATAAAAGTTAAAGTCTTCAAGAGCACTTCAGAAGCTCTTCTGCATGTGGCTTCTGGCGTTTTCAGGACAGCTCTCCTGTCCATACAAGAGCAGCCCTTGCTTCCCATGGAGCGGTGGGGACTGCGATACTGCTGGTGCCACTTGGTCTCATTTCCACGCTCTTTGTTAAGGATCTGGTACAGGATGCTCTTAGCAAGGTGTGTCTCACACTGACATTTCCCAGATTTCTCAGCTGGGATCTCGGTAGCCATAGAGGCAGAGTTCCCTCTTGCAGGAAACAGTGCATGTGGAGCTACGCATCAACAGCAGGGGAGAGCATTTCTGCCACGCAGCGAGGCGTTGTGTGCTGTTTATATACATGGGCGGTTGAAAAGTAATATGACCCTGATCTGTAAAGTTACCTTGAACTTTTATTTGCACCAGTCTGTTTTGAACAAGGCGGGGCTGCAGGCTGCTCTCGCTCGCCGGCAGCCCAACCGCTGCTCATTGCTGTGCCCCGGTGCAGACAGGCTGTGCCGGGCCTGCTGCCACCATGCCAGTGGCTCTGTGCTGCTGCCACCAGCAGTGGCATTTTTGCAAAGGCCGGCTGTATAACACGTACAGCCTGCCCCTGAGGGGAAGCCCAGTGAAAACTGTGACACCGTAAGTGAAGAAGGAACAAGTTGTCTATATGTTTACTGATACACTGACCCTGCCCGCTAGCTAATGCTCTGGAGTGCACAGAAATACATTTATACTTATGAATGATGCTGTGGTAGCAGTCCCTTGAGTAGAGACTTTTATTTCTTGTTAAAAGGAGCCACGCTGTGGATGTCTACCATTACTTTTCACAGAGCACTTAACAGTGTTCGTACTTTACACTGTAGCTAATAGGATGTGACACCTATGTCAAGGAGCTCCCAGGTGAAAGTCCCGGGAATGGAAATCCCACATAGAGGAATTATTTCATATTCCTGGAAGATTTGAGAGAAACTTCAGAGAAAGTCAGCTGCTATAGCTTGTGACAATGTTACCTCCTGCATTTCACATACGACAAATTCAAACACAGAACATGCAGACTTCTCCCAGACTTGCTGTGCAATTAAATATTCTTCATACAAGCTGTGGACATAAAACTGATGAAGAAAGAGAGCAAAATGGCAATTGATACTGTTGTATGTGTGAACTGTTGTAGCAGAGGAAGAGCTGAATAATATAATTGTCAGGACTCTTCAGTCGATATCAGGGAATATTAAGCAGCAGATGCAAGGAACTCAGCCTTAATAAAAAGAAATCGATACTTCAATTTTTTGTTACTTCGCACTCTCCTGTTTGCTCTTATATAGGGGAAGAGGTACTAAGTTCTTTCACCAAGCATAATGTTTATGCATTCCTACCATCTGGGCTTTTATCATGTCTTAACAAAAAAACAGGCATTAAAAACCACAGCTCCAAGAGCAACTTCTGTTAGATCTCCAAGCCTTAGGTGTGTAAAGGCCATCCCATCAGATGCATAGCCGCATATTTGTCCTTTGCTACATACAACTATTTGTTTTTTCCATGCTGGGCCATTTTAAAATTTCCATTTATTTACCTCTCCATGATATTTATGTTGCAAAATTTTCCCCTTCTGAGGAGATGAAAAGTGGAGGAAGAGATGACTGCTCCAAAGTTGAGTAATCTAGAAGTGTAGTGCTGCTGAGGTGCAACTACCGCTAACTGCCAGGAGGGTCAAGGGGGCCCAGAGCACTGAGCACCTGATGGGATTTGCTTGCCCACCTCTCCATCCATTCAACAGCTCTCTACTGTTGTCCATTGCTGGGGTGTCGAATTGCTTTTTAGGTTAAATGACACAGCAACAGGGAAGTCCCCAGAAAGTCCCGTTCTTCTTATTCTCACTGTAAAATTCTAGCTGGGCTGAAGTTCAGTGGAATGAACTCCAGCTGCAGGGCTAAAGCCATCTGAGGTTCTGCATGAGTTACATAGATTGGCTAGTGGCTGTACTAGAAAGAGAGACTGAGCTTGCCAAAATCATTCTTACACAGAGTTTGCTTGTGAAAAGAAGTTCTGTCTCTTAATTGCTGGTGAGCATGGTGGTGTTTCAGTAATCTAGGTAGGAGAGTGAGCTCTGGTATACCCAACTCCTCTTCTCCAAGGAAAAAAATCTTTGACGTCAGCTGAAATCAGCACCATTTCGCAGTTCACCATCATTTCACCCTCATGGTTCATGTCATCATTTCACAGTTCCTATTAATTGTGCTTATTAAAGTTCTACTCCAGATTAAATTGGTTCCTTTCCTACTTTTTTTTTCCTGAGATCTGCATCAGTCATGTGCAGAGAGTCCTGATGTCAGTAACATATGGTATTGGATACCATTTCTATTTATCATAATTTATTTCCTTTGATCGTGTATAGTTCTAAGAGGCAGAAGCAAATGATATTTTTCTGACAGGGATTCCTGGTATATTCACCCTATTCACCCTCTCTAGAGCTTGCTTTATTTTATAAATCTTGGTGAGACTCCCAGAGTCATCCTTTGTCCAAACTAAAGAGGCGTAGCTGCCAAAATTGTTCTTTCTTTACAGTGGTACCATGCCTTTGATCATCTTGTTACCCTTCTTTGCACCTTTCTTAGCCCTATATATTTTCTAAGATACTCTTTAAGGGGAAGTGGTGGAAGTATCAGAACAGGACACGATATCTAGGACTTAGGAGAGCATGGATTTATACAGGGACAGAAGTTCTCTGTTTTGTCTTTCCCACAAGTCACTCCTGAACACTGAGCTGTTGTTGCTGTGAAACTGTCACAGTCCCCAAGTTTTACTCCTAACTGACAGTCATCAGTTCAGAGGCTCTCATCTTATTCAGGAGTGGAGTCAGGAGTGTTTTACCTTATGTGCATCTTTTGCCATATACATATATATACACACTGAATTATCATTTGACACCTAGTTGATGATTTTCATAAAGCTCTTCTGCAGTTCTTCTGGCAGCCCTGGTCTTCCTCTGAATAATTTTGTATCATCAGCAAACATCCATATTCTGAAACTTTGAGGGCACTGCTCTTTAGAATAGTTCACCCAATGCTGTGAGCTGTTTAAAAGACTGTCATAATTTAACTATGGGGCAGAAAATCTGACGTTGTCCTTGCAGTAGAGTGTCTATATATACAAGTACATGTATGTTGGACTATATATATTGGTGCACAATGTATATAGTAACTAAGTTATTACTAAGCGGTGATGCGAGCTCTCCTGCTTTCCGAAAAGGTGAGACTGAAGGCAGATGCATTTCTGGAGGAGAAGAATCTTCCACTATTATTTCATATGGGCTACAAGAAGGAAACACCTTCCCAGGAAGCTGACAGCAGCCTTTTTGAGGTCATCCTGTCACACCAGTCTGATACATGCACGTATTCCTTGATTCAGTGATCTCTTATCTCTCTGGTCTCCCATAGAAACATTTAATTGCCCTATAAACATCTATATGACTTCAGAACAGGATTTTCTCTAGGAGTTTTATACATTTTATTTTCTGGGAGGAGTTGGGTGAATCTCGTGTCACTGGTATTTTTGAGGACAGCTGACTTCACTAACAGCCTTAATGATGACAAAAGGAGCCAGTAATAAAACCAATATCTTCCTAGAAGGTTTCCATCTCCTCCTTGTCCCATGGTGCACACCATCTTTCTTGAGCAATAAAGGTATTCGTTTCTCAACTTGAGGAACTGAGAGCTACCATTCAGACTGCCTGCTTTGACTAGGCAGATAGATAGTGGGAAGCATCATCCCCAGGTTAAAGCCTGCTCAGCCTTGAAACAAGCTCTGAAACAGTGTCTCTAGCTTATGCTCCAATGGGTAATGCCATGGCAAACTAGGATTTGGCCCTTGTATCTGAAGCAAGGGTACGTAAATTATAAATCCAGTTAGTTTAAACACAGTTAGCTTATCTTGAAGGGCAGTGGGTGAACTTCTCAAGTGATTGAAGTTAAGTGTGTGCTTGAAATGCTTTGCTTTATTAGGTCTGGTAAAAGCAGCATCTTTTTGATGATGATAGCCATTTGAACAGAAGTATCAAATTAATAGAGAGGGAGCTGCCCCAGAAGGCCCTGCAGTGAAATGTTGTCTTTCACTGAAACTAGGCATGTTTTAAACTTGCCTCTGGTGACCAAGTTAGAGAAAAGGCAAATGCCTCTGAACTTCTGCCCCACATCTTGACGTGAAGTAGGAGCTCTGAGAAGCCCTCTTCCTAAAAACCTACCCTACCCTGGGCATCTACGTTTAACTCATGTTCTGCTGTTCTTTGTTTCCAAACACACTGGCAGCATTTAAAGTGACTTTTCGGCAGGTGCTGGTCACTGGCTGAAGAAGGGAGAGTGTTTGTCTTTATCTTAGACTGAGGACATTTTGTTAGAGACTTCATGCTGCCCGACCATACTTCAGCTGTTAACAAATGTGAATGCAAACACATGCCATCTGGAGCCATAGCCAAATCTGAGACTAAAATATTAGTACAGAGAGTAAATAATCAGCTCAGTGATGCTCCTCAGGCAGAAGATGGGGTGACACAGGAACATAGTTCTTAACTTTTCAGCTTCTTATGAATCTAAAGCAGCAATGGATTTCCATGTATGCAGATGCATACATAAACCCAGAAGAGTTTTCATGGTGGTTTAAAACAAACAAAGAAAAACCACCTGGACAAGTGAACTCTTCTCATGATTTTTGAACAGTTTTATCCTACCTTTCAGTAACATGGGGTTAGAGCGTTCTTCATCTAAAAACCCGAGCAGCAAAAAAAAAATCACATAATTGCAGTTGCAGCAGAGCTGCGCACGCCATAGCAGACGTGCTGCTACTGGGCCATTTCTGCCTTGGTTAAAGGTAAGGATTTGTTTTAAGCAGTGTATGGAAAGGGGCATGAATCTGGAGCCATGAATAAGTTTTAAGCTGCCCAACATCAATCGTTTGCTTTCTTCATACTAGAAAAATTGGTGAGTTTTTATAAGGGTAAATTGGCAAATTTTTATAAGGGCGTACCTTGGCGGGGTGGGGTGTAGAGATCATAAAATAAACCAGAAATTACCTCGTACCAGATTGTGCCATTTTTCTATGGCTCCCCCACCAAGGAGACGGTGTTTGTACAGTCACCCTTATCAGCACTGGGACAGGCACCATCTGTCATTTTAAATATAGATAGATATACCACTTACTATTGCTCAGCAAGTGGAAAATGCTGTAAAGCGAGGTAGAAAATGGGCACAGTTTTGAA